TGTTTTTGTGTGTATATGCCGGTATTGCCGAGGTGAAGAGACAGAAGACGAAAAACTGCGCTAATAATGAAAAAAAAAATTCACTTTTTTTTACTCGAGAGTTATTGCTTTTTACTTTTCAAAAAATCCCATCATCAACACCGATCTCCCGTCATCTTTTCAATTCGTAGTTTATTTCTGCTTCTCTTTTTTTTCTACTTTTCCTTCTGCTTATGCTTTGTCATTTTTTCCTCAAAACCTTATCTTAAGCTTTGAAAAAAAAAACTGGAAATACTTTTTTATAGTACGTTTCCCCTCTACGCTTTCATGTCTACGTCATCATTTTTCAAGGCTTTACATTATATTCCGGTAGTTATATTGAATAATTGAAAAATAAGAAATATACATGGATGTTTTTGTGTAAATGCGCGTGTTTATATATCTGTGCTTGTGTATTTCTGTACGTGGATATATCTGCGTAAGTATTTGCGACACAGAAGTTTGTTATTTGGCAGGAAGTTGGACTGAAAAAGAAAGAAAAAAGGAGACTAAATAAATAAAGTTTATTTATCCTTACTGTTATGTTTTTGAATTTTTTGAAAAATAACTTTTTTAACTGACAAGATAAAAGGGGTTTTCTTATGTTTGGCTTATTCTGTTCCAGTTAGTTGTACAATGACTGCGGAGGATAGATTGAGTATTCAGTGTTCTTCAGCAAGGCTTCATCATACTGCTGGCGTGGTTGCGAGTGTTGTTGAGGCTGCAAGTGCTGCTGCCAGTTGCCGTTGTTGTTCGCTCCCCCGTCAGTTTATTCATTTATCCGTTGTATTGGCCTTTTCGCATATTCGGGGTTTTGTCGACGATACCGTTGAACCGGAGAGAAGGAACCATGGGGAGGTTTCGCAGGGTTCCAGGGAGTTGCTACTGTTAGTGGAGTCTACATCCAATTCAGCTTCTGTTTTCTTCATCAAGTTCAAATTAAACACTCATTAAACATACAACGATCATTCAGACACAGTGGTAGACAGATCCGAAGAGATACAAAAATTTGACAGATCATAATTCAGGTGAAACTGCTTACTTGACTTTTTTACTGAACAAATTAACAGTGAATAAGCTAAACTTACAAAACCAAAGCTTTTGTCCGAGTCATATTTTGCGTACGAGAACATTGAAGACACCATCTTTTATGGCGGTTACACTAATTTTTTTACCATTTTATTACCAAATTTCCTGTCGAATCAAAATCGCTAACAACTGTTAACAGTGATATATGCTTTCCATTATCTATCCATGCAAAAAATTGCAGAAAAAACACTGTGTAATTCTTTTTTTTCTACTAAATTTTTGTGTGAATGATAGGCTAATTGAAATAGTGGTTTGTATTCCGAAAAGCAGTCACAACAACGAACGGTAACTTTTTTCATCTTTTTTCTCATTCGTTCCGGAGAGATAAAAAGTCATCGAAATAAACTTTTCTTTCTGCAGGATTTTTCTGAACAATTAGGAAATTGTTTCATTCCTTGCTGCCGTAGTTGTTGTTATATTTTTGCGGTTTATAGACGGTTGCCTCTTTCTAGATTGTTCCGACTTTATCGCAGAAATTGAGGAATTATGAGGAAAAAAAAGATTTATCTAAGTGCTGTGCTGTTGCAGTTCAGAAGGGAGACTCAAAATACAGTTGTCGTAATCAGAAGGTGACAAAAATTTTGCTTGGCTAAACCAATTTTTTGTTGCCCAAGACAACCACAGCGGTGAAGGCGAGGACGACGGTGACTTAGCTGCTGTTCATTCAGGCGAGATTTAATCGAGCAGACAGGTTACAGTTACGTCTGGTGGAGCTTATTAGAAATTAAAAGGCCAACTAATTAGACGAATCAAGTGCTTAAAGATTCAGAACAAAAAAAAGGAGGTTTATGACAAAACTGAATCAACAGTCATTCTGCTCGTTAAAAGCAGATTTAGCGCAAAAATTTCTGCTTGCCAAAAAGCTTAACTCTTAAATTCTTAACCTGATCAAAAATCGATCAAAAATTTGGGTTTAACCAAATTAAATTACTCAGCAGCAGAGGCAACCAAAAGAAGACAAACAAGAAAAAAGATTAAAAAACTTCTAGCTCAAGACATAGAAGAAGAAATTTGGTTTTGATTATTAAAATATCTTTTAAATAGCAAAATAAATAGTATTTGCCTTTTTTCCTCTATCTCACTATCTCTTCTTAAATAACAAAACATAACAGTAGAAAAAGAGAGACAAACATATTTGTTAAAAAAACGTGTCAAGCTTTTCCTCTACTTTTCGCATTTGCAAATTGCAGTTGAAAAATTTTTTTGAGGAATTTTCAAAGTCAAATAAAAAAAACACAGCAAAGCGAAATCTTTTGAAAAACCAATAATAATAATTGACTGTTGAGATGCACGCAAATACGTGTGACAGCAAAAGCCGCGACTATTAAACCTTATGAACAAGGTTTTTTAACATTCAAAACAAGATTAATTTCTAGACCGCTTTAAGCATTTAGAACGTAATAAACAAATGACGAAGATTGAAAGCGGTAACCCACTTCCGTGTCGGAGCAGGTCTGAAAAAAGTAACGCTAACCGTCGGGTTATTACTCAGACAGAAAATTTTAGGTGATACTGTTACCAGTGCCATCTGCAGAATCGGATTTCTGGTAAGTAATCTTACAGTGTTAATCCGCTTCTAAATCCCAGCAACTGAAAACTGCGAAAAACAGAGAGGAAATTTGCCTTTAAATGCTTAAGTGAGGAATTGGTGCAGTTACTAAAGTCTGGTAACAGGAGGAAACTGCAGAGAAAAAAAGACAGAGAAGGACCAGTTTGTTATACTCAAAGCAGGACCTTAGTTGATACTACGACATGTATTATTTGCAAGATCACCTTTCTTACAAGCAGCTTAGCTGTATTAACTAAGTTCTGTCATCTACTGGTCAGACTGACATAAAATAATAAACTTATTTCAGAAACAAAACCTTCTGTAGATTGTCATCAAATTATAATAATAAGCATTGATTCTAATTACCTTCTTTTGCATCTCAAAACCATTTTTATACTCCTTTTGTTGTTGCTGTTTTTAGTGTTGCTGGCAATTAAGATTAGACACTTCCGTACTGTTTGAAATGTCGTGATAGAAAGCGGACAACATAGCGTCGACAAGCTAAGATTTTTCTTTTTGTTTTTTTTTTTCTTGCAGAAAAGGAACTGTTGACAGTTTTACGTTTTTACGATTTTGCGCCATTTTTTGGAAAGAGCAAAAGTCAGACTATAAAAAAGGTGGATAAAAGCGCAGTTGTTTCAAGGAAAATAGTGTGCACCACAAAATAGCAAAAATTATATTTAGACTAGCTTGTTTTTAACTCCATAGAATCTGACAAACAAATCAAATAGAGTCATAAGCTTTGTTATCTATCAGATCAGCTAGTCAGACAAACGTTAACATCCAACGACCTTGCAATAAGTCATAGTAACACTATACATATAGTTTGGTTTGAACTTAAGAAAAATCAAAGTTTAGGCATAATTAATTGGCAATTTTCAGTCTTTTTTCGCCCTTTTTTTTCTTCTGCACATTAAATACTGGTATATTGAGTTCAAGAACATCGTCTTCTGAAGTGTCCAAAAAGCAAAATCGATTTTGATTAGACAAAAGAAAAAAATTAAAAATGAAAAAGAAAAAAATGAAGTGAAAAGTCTGTAGATGTATAGTTTCAAAAACAACAACAAAAAAAAAAAAAACGATAACACCTTCGTGCGTAGAAAAAAATTAACAAATATTTATTCTTGATATTCTTTTTCAAAAAAAACTGGCTAAACAAAAAAATGAAACCCATCGCAAGTTTTCCCGATTCAAACGTTGCCGCTGTACGCTAGAGAACAATCAAAAAAATCCTCATTCATCAGTTACAAAACTGTACAGCTAAAATTATTTTAGCTAAGACTCCCACTAAAAAGATGTCGGCAACAACGGCAAAAGAACAAAAACAACAAATTAGCGACACTGAGAAAAACTCTCAGCATTTGTAAAATAACGAACTGATGATAAAATGATAAAGGAAAATCTCATAATAAATGGCTAGCAGAAAGTTATCCCTTTACTACAAATTTTGCTATCTATCATTGACAACCAAAACGAATTGTTAAATATTTGAAAGAAACAGTACAAATCTTTCATAACTGAAAGAAGCACAGCCAAGAGGACCTATAGAAAAACGGAAGTTGCAGCGACAGCAGCGAATTTGGTAATGCAGTTAAGATTCTTAGAATGAAAAACAGAGGAAACTGCAGCACAAATGTATTATCAAAGCATAAAATTTTATTCCAATTCTAGCAAATAAAACATTAAACAACGGCAAAAAAGGAATATAATTTGGTAACAAGTGACCATTTTTGATAAGTACTAACAAAATTAAGTGGGTAAAAAATCAGTCGACAAAACTAACTTTACCTGTTTTTTTTCTGTATATTTTAAAAACTATAGTTGAGTAACTGTTCATTTTCCTTTTTTTTTCCTATAATTGTTAGTGTTCTTTTGTAAATGAATGAAAATCGATGAAAACTGAAAACAGAAAAATGCGGGTAATGATTTCAGTGGTATCAACAAACTTTTGAAAACAAGTTGAAAACGAGATTTAACAAAAAAA